TTGAAAAGCCATGTTCAACCATTGCATAGATAAAATCATTTTGAGAAAACATCTAAAAAGTTACCAAACAGTCCCAAATCTTCCCTCTATTCTCTTCTCTCCTGTCCTGATATTCCTTTAATGCGAAGTTGAAGTGAAAGCAGTTTCTAATATGGGTCTACTCAGGCTTATTCAAGTCTATCTTTGTACTGCAGTGGTGGTTTTATGTATATTGAACTCATCTGGATCAGTGGTTCTTATTCGTTTTGATGAAGCTCCACAGGCTCGATCAAGGTTCTCTACCGCCATTTTCCGGTACTCGGTTATAAGGCCAAATGGCTCAAATGCCTGCACGAACAATACTGGGTGTTCCATTTACTGCGAGGTATACTTCTCCTCTAAATCTTTTCTATTTGTTGGCGTGTTCCACAGTTGATTGGTAATGTGGATACCTTTACTTCTCATATGTTTTTATGTTACTTACCAGAAGCTTCAAAGTTCTACTTGAATCAGTTTAATTTCATTGTCATTAATAGTTCAGTGATACCATAACCTCTCAGCACCCCTTTGACTGATGGATCCCACTAGGTAATGACACTTTCATAGGTGCATGTTTAATCCTATTGACAATTTCAGCATTTTTTGCAGTCCTTCTGCTCTGTTTAAAGCTCGTCCCTTTTACAAAATAATTTATGTTTCTCTACAATGTGCGTAAATAATTCTCTCAGCAACAATCTTGAATAATCATAATGAACACCTATGCAATCCTAATAATAATGAAGAGCCACGAATCAAGCAAGTCCATTCCCCCCCTTTCTCTGTTTTTCTATAAAATTTTTGACCTTTTATAGTTGTTTATGCTGCTTCATATTTGATAGACCAAACTGGTATTTGAACAGCTTGACGGCCAAACTCTTATACCATGCCCTGCGGATGTCATAATATTGAGAAACTTGACTGTCAATCAGGAACACATTTTCCACCTCAACATTACAACCAAGGATGGAGAGAGAAACTCTTCGTCTTATTCATGGTTCATTGGTAAGCACTTGTCTCCCCTATAAGCCGTTTCTCAACTTAAAATGTATGTTCCGATGGCTGGGCTTTAAATATGCAATAAGATCATGTCAATCTCTTTCCGTCACCAAGTCATTTGTCATCTCAGCCAGCATTAAAATCTCATCTTGCAAAACACAAACAAAATGTGATACAAATTAATGCATCTAAATTATTTTCATGTATCTGCTCAACAGATACAATACCACCAACTGCAACAATTTTCAGCAAACAGAGTTACACAAATGCGGAAAAAGTATCCATTGATGTTACATTCAGTGAAGCTTGCACTGGAAATGGGGGATTTAAGTGTTTGAACATGTCTAATTGTGATGTAAGTACACCTCTCCTCAAATTGTTACATGTTTACAAACACGCAACACTATATATATAACAGAAGTTCATATTTTTAGTATGGATTCGTGAAGTGTATGTTCATACTTTGATATACGCCCTAATTCAAAATTTTTAGGTCACCATAGATGGTCCTGCCCAAGTGGACGCATCTTCGCTGAGGATAATCAAACGTGACATCAAATATAGCCTCGATATTATTCTGTCCTTAGAAAGTACTTATGCACATGTGGTAATTAAAATGGCAAATGATTTTTGTACAGACCTTGCAGAGAACAATTTCACAAGGACACCTGGTTCAACTTTTATTGTTCACTTGGGTGAGGACATATCAATGCCAACTTTTTTCTAGGCTTTGTAGCTATTCAAAAATGTATTTGACTCGTGGCACTCCTGTTTCAATGGCTCTCTTAGATAGAAGACCAGTGCAAGTGGATTTATGGACTTCAATTCAATCCTACGAGTTGGAGATTAATGGGATCCCAAGAACTGTTATTGCAACTAACAAAGTGGAGGACTTGACAGTTTTCTTGGACTTCAGCATTCCTATTACAGGTTCAATAGAACAGATCCAGAATGCATTACACGTGAACTCGGGTAACATGATACCTATTCATTCAAGAAGTCATGGAAACCGAAGATTTGCCTTTGAAGTAAATACTAAGCTTCAACTTTGTCATTGGAATCATTTTTTTCCGTGTACTTTTGAAAATAAGAAAATCATGTTTAACATTTTGCTTCATTTTTGGTTGGGTAGCTGAAGAATATTTCTAGGACTGAAATAGTTACTGTGGAACTAGAAGCAGCTTCAGTAATAGCCAGGACAGGGACTCCTGTGTCACCTGTTCCCCCAATTACATTCCTTTATGGTATGAAATTTCTTACTTTTGTGCTTTCAAAGATTTATAAACAAGAAGTTATTCATGTATTTTTTCCCCCTAGATTGCACGCAGCCTGGTGTATGGCTAAGTACAAGCTCACCAAGAGTTACAAAAGAGTCCAACATCAACGTGATAATTGAGTTTACAAAACCAGTTTTGGCTTTGAGGCCTCCAAGGTAGAAGTCAAAGGAGGAAGTCCTATAAGGCAAGTGCATGCAATGCTTTTTAGAAGCATTAAGTTGATCACGTTACATATAGTCAAGTTATATTAGCTTGATTCCAATAGAGGAGAGTGGAAACAAATTTTTTTTAGTTACAACTTTGAGAATATCAGAAGGGCAAAATTTTGTGCTTATTTTTTGAAATCCATGTTGATTTGAAGTGAATGCTTACTTGGTTTCTGACTTCTGCTTCATGTAGGTTTGAAAAACTTTCAAGAGCTCTATACTCATTGACAGTCCTGGCAGTATCTCAGAATGTATCTGTCATTGTTGCGGCAGGAGAAGTGTATGATATCTCGGGAAATCTGAATTTAGCTTCAAACCAACTTGAAGTCGGGCATTGTATGCACAGCTTCACAGATATTATGACATTTTCTTTTTTTTGTTTCTTTGTTCACTTAGATTTAGAAGAACTTAAGCTGTTTATGGCTGCATGTCACGTATTTTAATGACGTACTACTTTTTGAAAGCTTCTTTACAGTGTCCAGCCTTTCTTATTCACTTCTGATTCTTGTGCTTAAACAGACACAGCTCCTATTATATCAACTGCACTTCACTCCTTTGTGTCTGTGGGAGTATTAGCAACCTCACTAACGGCTGCAGTTCTTTCATTTTCGTATGCAAATCTAGCAGCGATAGGCACTATAACTACTGGAGGTGCCAACACAATTTTTTCTGACCCATCAATGAATTTACATGTAAGTATATGTGTGCTCCTAAGTGCCACAGATTGAAATCATATTCCTTTTGTTGGATTATAACTTACACTTCACATCATGTCTTCTGTTACATTGCATATAGGAACGTATTTACAGAGTGGCTACTTATCCTTGTATAAAAGCCTACTCTGTCGTTTGATTTTATGTATTGAAATCTCTGTTCCGTTGCTGATGTGACTATCTGACTTTTGATGGGAGCTTTTGTCCGTCACAGGGAATGGTGGGACACCTACAAGTGTTCGTCCTCTGTGACTGGCTCTCATTTAACTTACCTGCAGAATATTCTGAGACAGTTAAAGGTCTCAGGTGGCTTATTCCTCACGAGAAACTCCCTTGGAAAAGTGAAAGTTCGTTAACTTGGCCCAACCATTTACATCTGGCTGACGCAAGGTCTGGAATGAAAGTTAGTGGCAGCTCCAATTGGTTCTCCTCTTCAAAAGAATTTCAACATCCGACTGCCTTGAATCTAACCAATTTCTCCAACCATTTGAATCATTGGCTACCATTTCTAACTAATTACTCGAATGATAATCGGCTCCATCCACAGCAAAATATGATCATGAAAAACTCAGCTTATGGTCTACCCCTAGATTCCAATGAATATTTTACTTATTTCCTGGTGAGTTTTTCCTCAACATTATCTTATTGGACAGTTATAGAAGTTTACTGATCAATGTACTTGCAGCGAGGAGAGCCATTCTCTGCTAGTGGTGTGGTTAAGAGGCTGGAGAATTACACAGGGTAGCTACACTTTCTCCTTCCCTGCTTCAGAATTTGAAATATAGAATAAACCACTGCAAACTATGGTAGCTTTTACTTGCTGGAAATAGATAAGGGATTGAATAAACTAAACAATGAAAATAACAATGCTGGTTTGTTTTCTCAATAGGTGGCAGGACTTAGAGATGAACTTGTTCTGGCTTGGTGTGGAAGGAGGCAGTTTACTCATAATCCATGCTTTGACCTTAATTTTTGTAAAATGGAGGACTCAAGTGTCAGCTCATGGGACACTTTCAATACCAAGGTTTGAGCTGTTTCTTCTGATTCTCATGCTACCTTGTGTCTCTCAATCTTCAGCGTTTGTTATAAGAGGTAAGTGGACACAAGTTACTGTACTGAAGTAAATTGTTTTATCTTACTGGTAATATGAACTCGAGAGTGTTGCAGGTGGTACGACAAAGGGAATTCTCACTGGGGCTTTGTTGCTAGCCATCCCAGCAGGTCTTATTCTATCAGTGTGCCTCTTTCTTACGATCACAATCTTCTCTGGCAGCTTTGCTCAGTATAAGGAAGTTAAGCAGATCGGCACCAAAGAACCATGGTATATGAAGCTTTGGCATCTGTTCACCGGGAGGCCTACCACTGGAAAGTGGTTTTATAGAGAAGGGCTGACTTCATCATTCCTCCCACGATTTGGGATTCTATTTGAGAACCGGAAGGGTCCTCCATTTTTCGTGTTACTTGATCAAAATGACCCGAACAGCATACCCAAGTGGATTGAAAGTGGCCAAAATGGGGTAGGAAGAATGAGAGCAGTCAGCTCAGATGACAGTACTGAGGATACCAAAATTCCTATGCTCAGGAGATTCCTGGGATCGGCCAGATCCTCCTATATCAATCTTGATCTTATAAGGAGAGCCGGTCTGGGGATACTATCTGGAGTTCACAAGTCAAGGGGTTCAGGACAAAGCCTTATAGCGCTAACAATCACGGTCGTGCAACTGTTGTATCTGTTAACTCTTAAACCATACATCGCTAGGGGAGTTCATGTTGTGGAGAGCGTGTCTCTCTTGTGTGAAGCAGGCCTCTTTGGACTATCTATCAGTAGCAGTAGCTCCAATCCAGTCAGCGATAGCAATTTGGGATACATTATGCTGGCTTTCCTCTTCCTTACCTTTGTTTCTCAGATCATAAATCAGTGGTATGCGATGATAAAATGTCTTTCAAAATTCTCACCGCCTCAGAAGAACTCACTAAAACATGGCCTGAAAAATGCCACTAAAGGTCTTCTGATTCCTTTCCTCCCGAGGAGGCATTGGTCAAGAGTCATCCCTGGATCCTCCAAACCAAAAGAAGGCCTCTCTGCAGTCCCTCCTTTGAGTCCAGAAACACACTTTCAAAGACAAGATGCAAGAGCACCACATGTTGGCCCATTAGGATCCATGTCTGCAACAGTGGTTCCTATGCTCAGTCCTGGCTCTCCTGGCTTTAGTACTAATCCAGTTTCAGGTTCCACAAGTGCAGGAACAGCTGATCATGGACAGAAAACAGGGGAGTAAAGCAGCCAAAAGGACTTACATCCGAGCCGAAGAGTGAGATGAAAACTCTAAGGGAGTTGGCAAAAGCTAGTTTCTCAGGGGTGGCGAAGTATGAAGAAGGCTCTACTAGCTATGGCGCGAGAGTAAAAGGTTTTCCAGGTAAAAGCTCTCTAGATAACATCAAACCATACCCAAAAAGCAGGATCTAATGTATTCAAATTTTCACTCACAAACTGCGCAAATGTTAACTTTGTCTTGGCATATGGAACATTTTTTTTTGGGTTCTCCTTGGGATATAGCATGCTTCCAGCTATCTTCTTGATTTTATACCAAACTATTTCACCTGCATATAACCTGTTCGCAGTGTTCTACATTCAACAATGGTACTCCTAAGTCCCGATCCCCTTCCCCACAAAAAAAAAAAAAAAAAAAATACATTCAACCCATACTTCCCTGCTCCAAAGATCGTCGAGCTAAATACTCATTTTTGCCAAAACACATCGGAATATTACCAAAAAAGGATAAATAAATTCAAGCTATCTATCAACAGCAGAGGGGCTGGGCTGTTCATGGTTTAAAAAAAAAAACCCTACTAGACTAGATGTATTCCAACTAAACTTTAACTTCTACTTGGATCGTAGATGATGGAGCAGCATACCAGAAGAAAACAAAAGTCCTAATTTGAATCACGATCTAGAGTGACACCACAACATATAACAATGATAGTGAAACATATGTCAAAGTCAAATCTCCATTAGAATGCCAACGTAAGAAGCAAGGAATTAACAGCATTCCTTTGAGATGGAAAAGATTATATGAAAAACTGTTTACAACTACATTGTGTAGTGCTTCATTAAACCAACTAAACAAAAGTACAATGGTGTCGGCGCCAACAAATTTGATACCTTCAGGAACTAAAGACTGGATAAAGTAAATCCCACATTCAGTGCCTGTCCATAGAAAATTGAGGAGATAGCAAACAACTCACAAAAGCTATTGCCAAAGAGAGCTCAAGGTTTCTCATGGCAACCTAATCTTTGCCATATCGAGGTGGAGTCTGATCATCTTCCCTGTCTAATTCAGAGAAAGAATCTCCAAGAAGCTTTTGCCTTGGATATGGTACAAGCAAGTCATGAAGTCTGATGAGCTCGGATTTTACTGGACCAAGTCCAATTTAAATAAATTGGGAAAGTCCAAAGAAGCGTCCATTGTTGACCCATCGAGGAGGACACCAAAAGGACATCACCAAAAGCCAACGGCTGAAGGAGGAGGAGGACAAGGGAGCCCTTGGGCGCCCCTCCTCTTGATCATCCTCACCTTGGTACTCCAGGTCCAGATTCAAGACAAGTCCAGGTCCAGGTTCAAGTTCAAGCCAAATCTATTCAAGACAAGTCTAGGTCCAGGTTTAAGCCAAATCTACTCAAAACAAGTCAAGGTCCAGGTCCAGGTCCAACTAATGTTCTTCTCCAGATGAATAAGGGCACGAGGGAAGATAATATGGAGATAGATATAGAAGATCTCCTACCATAGCAATACTTGCCAAAGTAATAGAATTCTTCTCTCTCACGTCACCGCCTCTACTACCTTACTCTAACTATATAATGTAAGCCCTCTCAACATGAAGGGCCGAAAACGCCTCCAAGGACCTTCTTGAAACCTCTACACCTTGAAGCCTTCAAAACCTCTCCGGAGACCATGATTCATCAATAAAGAACACTAAGTCACCGCTGCCGTTTCCGAGAGTAGAGTAGGTCATCTGAACCGAACCACTATAAATTCCTATGTTAATCTATTATTTATTGTTTTACTCTTAATTGTCATTAATTATTTGTTTGTCACTCATTAATTGCACCTTTACACATATTTCACTGTTGACCTTACACGAAGACAATTTTTTGCATCATCAAAGTCCATGCACCAGAAGCCATTCGCTGTTGTACATATCTGGAAAGATAACCGGAAGACCATTAACCTCAAGATTATCACCAGACTTTTTGACTTCAATATTAAAGCTTTCCAAACATGTCTGCAGCGTTTTGCCATCATCAACCGCGACCAAATCCCTCCATGTGATCCAATCAGGAACAACATGCCTCCGAAACACCACTGAGTAATCACTAAAATTGTTCTTTACATATTCATCGATTTCCCTATCTATCGGTGCAAAAATCGTCAACTTAGTCCCATTGCTGGACCCTGCCAATTGCATATTAAGAAATGTGGCCATTCTAGTATAGCCCCTTGACCTTAGCAAACCGGACGCTCTACCATAATAAGCCAACCGTTTGCTCAGAATTGGATAATTGGGCTCGGCGATTGAACTAGGGGAAGGCACTGGATGCAAATTCAGGGATAAACGGAGAGAAGAAGCAAAGAATTCTGCAATCCCGTGTCCGATCAAAGATTGGTTATTATCATACATGACCGGTTCATTAATCTTGACGTTGTTGATTGACAATTGAGAATCGGAGGGCCAAGAAGTGACGATAAGTGAGTGATTTGGAAGTAATGTGGGAATGGTAGATCCGTACGGAAGGGCTTTGAGGTTCTTGGTGGGGAAGTGAACTGGAGAGATGTGGCATTGGAGTTGATTGAGGGAAGGTTGGCCTATGTGAACGAAAGCAGCATCGGAAGGAGCGAAGATTGTGGCGGTTGGTGACCGGAGGAGTAGGGTTTGGGAGACGAGTTGTAGAGTTAAGGCCATGGAGAGATGACCGGAGTCTGAGAGTGTTCCCATGGCGGCATTGAGGGTGTTTCCCGGAGATAAAAAGGCAAAGGAGAAGAGAGAGAAGAAGATGATGAAAGAGGGGATATTGAAGGTCGCCATGGCTGAGTTGTTTGGAGCTTTTTCTTGAATTTCGTTCTCTCTGTTTGGTGCTTGTCGTTAAAGAAAGGCTTTGTGGAGCTACCGACCGAGTCGGTTAGGACAACAGGCAAGTTTTGGCGGGAAATCAAGGAGTTTATGTATTTAACTGTTGATTATGGTTTTTTTTTTGGTCATTCATAAAACAGACTTACAAAAAATATACTTACTGATGGGACTCTTCTGAAAAGCCTATGATGAAGACACGTGTCCTCGGGGGTTTCTAGAACAATGTTGCTCGGGTTCGAGCACCATCGGCAAAAGGCGTCCTCTCCCCCGAGGTACCTCTCATATAGGATCACATATTCGGTGCATTATACAACGACACGTGTCCTCGGTCACTGTGTATCTCGGAACGTACCACCTCGGTCCCCGAGGTGAGCCTTCCCTCGGTGCCGAGGGTCACTCCATCCTGGACGCTTCCTCTACTCCCGGATAAAGCTACTGACGTACGGGACATCAGCCTATGCCAGTCTAGACTATTCATCATGACCTCTTCTTACACAAGTAATGTCAGAACGTTCTGGAATACCGACGTAACAGCCAATAAGGGATGGGCGCGTGGCAAATAATGTCACATCCGAAGCAGACAAACCGCATGCCGCTGCTGGCACGCGACTTGGGAAAGCAAACAATTAATTGCACCCTTCTGTTGGCGAGACCGCATTCAATGCGGTAAGGTTCGGATATGAAAGGTAATAAATGCTCCTATTACAGAGCATTTATTGCATCCTTCCCGAAAGGAGCATATTGTACCGTCGGCGTCCCGACAACTCAGCATTGATTGCTCGGGACCCCGAGCAGTCAATTAGAGAAGACATTCCTCATCAAATGATTACACACGCTACCTGTGCCTGATAATCACCTACTGACCACACTGACAGCAATCATGAGCTTCTAAGGTATAAATACCCCACCCAAAAGACAAAGCGGGTATGCAATCAAAAACTCACTACTACAAATTATCCTCATCAGTGTTTTCTCCTTCCTCTCTCTCATTCAAAGACTGACTAGACCGTCGGAGGGGATACGCCGGAAAACACTCCGGCGCCCTTCTAACTTGTTCTCCTTTGTTCCAGGAAATACCTTCCACACGAACAGGATCGTTCTTCCTTTCCCAAGGCCTTCCTTTGCCGTTCCAGGTTGCCACCGTACCTCGAAGGTTGTTTCAAGCAGCGTGTTTGGCCCCTCGACCGGCTCACTCACAGTTCACCAGGGGAGAGATCTGTTCCCATTATTTTGTATATAGTGCAGGATCGAGCCCGCACAATCTGGCGCCGTCTGTGGGAAAAGAGTAGTTTTCCTAATCTTTTCTCTATAAAGAACAGTGACCATGGTGAACACCAGACAGAAAGGGAAGGGACCCTACCAAAGGAGTCATGAGTTGCAAGCTCCCTGCCATCACGGGGGGAGGGATCGGACCAGTACGATTAAAAGTGCCTCTACTCGGTCAAGGGGGGTAACCCCCCAAACCAGTATGGGGATCAGGTCAGGAGGATCAGCCCCCTTGGCCCGTCAACTGGCAGAGGTGATAGAAGAGAAATTTGGCGATAGATTACGTCAGCTGGAGAAAGACAATGTAAACGTCCTTAGCCGGCTCGACGAGTTTGCTGCCTCAGGCGGAGGGTCGAGGGATTCATTCCTCTCCCGAGGACTCCCCGTCCATGAGGCGGAGACAAAGGATCTAAGGAACCACCTGGATCACAAAGCAGAAAACTCCAGGGCCCCGAAGCGACCCAAAGCCGGCGAATGCCATCTTGACAACCACTCCAGGAAAGCAAGGCCATTGGCCCTAGACGACCTCCGGCGAGGTTTATCCAGACGGAGGAAGGGAGACGAATCCGAGGAGGACTCAACCCAATCTACACGACGCCCAGGAAACGAGGGGCTTACCGACGAACCAAGAGACTTCAGGAGGCATCCCGTAAGGGAAGAAGTAGATCTCAGAGCCCGATTAGACTCCAGAAGAAAGGGCAAGACGATCCAGGACGAGGCCGAGGACGAAGTCATGCAAACACCCTTCACGAGGGAAATCAATGAGATGGATGTCTCAAGAAAGTTCGTCGTGCCACGGTTCAAGACCTATGATGGGCGATCTGATCCCGATGCCCATATCAGACAGTATAAGCAGATGATGTCCCTCTATCATTCGGACCAA